TCTGAGCCAGAAGTGAAAAAGTGTGATGTGATATAGAGTAATGCACTTGGAATTAAAGCCAACAAGCATTTATTAAGCACCTACTACGTAGTTATGATAAGCTCTGGGAATACAAAGAACAGCAAAAAATAAAAATAAAACATGCAAACAACTATGTACAAACGATATGTAGGATAAATTGGAAGTAATTGCTAAGTGAAGGAAGGCACTAGCATTAAGGGAGATTGGCAAAGGCTTCTTTTTTTTTTTTTGGTTAGGCAATGGGGTTAAGTGACTTGGCCAGGGTCACACAGCTAGTAAGTGTTGTCTCTGAGTCCAAATTTGAACTCAGGTCCTCCTGGAATCCAAGGCTGGTGCTCTATCTACTGTGCCACCTAGCTGCCCCAAAGGCTTCTTACAAGAGGGATTTTAGCTGAGATTTGAATGAAGTCAGAGGAGAGGGGAGGCAGAGATGAGGAGGGAGGAAATTCTAGGTGTAGAGGACAGCCAGTGAAAATGCACAGAATAGGGAGATGGAAGTGTTACATGCAAGTACTGCCAGGAGGCCAGTCTTGAGATCACAAAGTACATGGTGAGTGGTGGGTGGGAGGTGAAGAGTAAGGTATAAGAAGACTGGAAAGGTAGCAAGGGGCCAGGTTATAAAAGGCCTTATGATTTTATAGTTGATCATGGAAGTAACTCAGAGAGAGAGACAGAGACAGAGAGAGAGAGAGAGAGAGAGTGTGTGTGTGTGTGTGAGAGAGATGGTCAGATCTCAGCTTTAGGAAGATCAATTTGATAGCTAAATGGAAAGAAGGTTTTTTTGTTTTGTTTTGTTTTGTTTTTGCTAGGCAATGGGGTTAAGTGACTTGCCCAGGGTCACACAGCTAGTAAGTGTTATGTGTCTGAGGCCATATTTGAACTCAGGTCCTCCTGAATCCAGAGCCGGTGCTCTATCCACTGCACCACCTAGCTGCCCCTATGGAAAGAAGGTTGAGGGAGACCAACTAACAGGCTATTGCAAGAGTCTACATATGAGGTGATGAGGGCCTGCATTGGCAGTTAGAGCACAATAGTACTCCTTCATTGGCAATGTTAAAAAAAAGAGAGGAGAAATGTTGCAAAGGCAGAATCTATAAGACTTGGCAACTGATCAGATATGGGGGTGAGAGTGATGCATCAAGGATGACTCTCAGGTTGTAACCCTGGGTGACTGACAAGATGGTAGTGCCTCAATTGTAATAAAGAATTTACGAAGAGGGAAAGGTTTTGGAGAAAATTAATGAGTTCAGTTTTGGATAAGTTGAGTTTAAGACATCTATGAGACATCCAGTTCAAGTTGTCCAACAGATGACTGGAGATGTAAGGATGGAGGTAAGGAGAGAGGTTAGGGCTTGATAAACAGATTGGAGAATCATCTACATTGAGACAACTGAATCTGTGGGAGCAGATGAGAATATCAAATGAAATAATATAGGGGAAGAAGAGAGGCCAGGACAGAGCCTTGGGGGTTATCCTGGTTAGTAGGGGTGAACTGGATGAAGATTCAGCAAAGGAGAGGTCAGATAGGTAGGAGAACCAGCAGAGTTTTATGGAAACCTAGAGAAGAGATTACCAAAGAGAAGAGTGTGGTCAATAGTGTTAAAAGTTGCAGAAGTCTAGAAGGATGAGGGTTTTTAAAAGGCCATTAGATCTAGCAATTAAGAGATCATTTGGCTGAACAAATTATGATATATGAATACGAAGGAATACTATTGTGCTGTAACAAATAATGAAGGAACTGGATTCAGAAAAACCTCGTAAGACTTATGTGAACTGATATAAAGTGAAGTGAGCAGAACCTAGAAAACAATTTATACAGTAATGCAATATTTTAAAGATAATCAACTCTGAAAGACTTAGTAACTTTGATCAACACAATGACCAACCACAATTCCAAAGGACTCATGATGAACCATGCTATCCACCTCTAGAAAGAGAAGTGACAGACTCAGAGTCCAGAATGAAGTGTATTTTCTATTTCTTTTTTTCTTGCAACATGGCTAATGTGGAAATATATTTGGTATCTCTATACATATTTGTAATGGGTCCCATTTTTCCTGCTTTTTTAATGGGTGGGTGGTAGGGGGAGAGAATTTGGAACTGAAAATAAAACAAAACTGAATTAAAAAAATAAAATCCAAAAACAAATCATTTGAAATTTTGTAGACAGCAGTTTCAGTTGAATGATGAGGCTGGAAAGCAGACTGCAGAGTTTAGAAGGCAGTGAGAGGAAAGAAAGTGGAGGCACTTCTTCAGAAGTTGAGCCATAAGAGGGAGGAGAGATCTAGGAAAATAGCTAGCAGGGATGAACAAATCAATGAGGGTTTTTTTTTGAGGATAAGAAAGACAATGGGTATGTCTGTAGGTAGCAGGGAAGCAGCCAATAGACAGAGACAAAGGAAAGGGTGGGCAATCTGCTGAAGAAGATGGGATGGAATGGGATCACTTGCCTTGGCAAGAAGAGCCATTTTTTGATGTGAGACAAGGGTGGAAAAATAGCAGAAGGGAGAAGGTGGGCTCTTAGCACATGACTTCAATGTTTTCAGTGAAATATAAGCAAGGGCTGGGGGTGGGGTGGGGTGGTGGCCATGGTGCCATGAGAGGCTACAAGAAGGGATAAAACTGTTTGGAAAAACTGCTTTAGTAAGCAGAAGAGTGAATCAATTAGGGAGGTGTAAAAGAATTGCCTTGAAGCAGAAAGGCCTCAGTTGAAATTTAGTAACATAAATCTGTAGTGGGCCCAGTTCAAATCATATAACCTGGGTCCAAATCTTAGTTCTGCTACTTGAAACCTGTGCAATTTTAAGCAAATCACTTCACATTTTCCTGAGCCTCTAGTGTTTTTGTCTGTAAAGTAAGGGGGTCAGATTAGATGATTTCTGAAATCTCTTCCAGCTTTAAATCCCCAAAGAGAATCACCAACAGTAAATTGATTATAATTAACCCAATTATAATGACAATTTTAATTTATTATAATTGACTGGAGCACTTCTATACTTTGACCTTGCACTTACCTGATGCTGTAGAGTTTTCAGAGCATCTTCCGCTTATTATCTCATTTAATAATGTCTATATCCCAAAGCTATTGTGAAGACAAAATGAGAATACATATGAAACTACTTTGAAAACTGGAGAGCTTACGCAGAATCACATAACTCTATCTGACCTTCGGAATCTCACCCTACTCTGTCATTTTACCGATGAAGCAAAGGGACAGAAAGGTGGTGATTTATACAAAATCACACAGCTGTTCAGTAGCAGCATGGATAGTCTTGACCCCTAGTCTTCTGACTCCTTCTTCAGCATTTTTCCATTATAATCACTAAATCAGTATTTAGGGGATGTTATATAGCCAGTTTTGTGCCAGGCATTATGGCAGATACAAAAGACTCGGAAAGGCAAGTCCTTGTTCTGGGGGAATTAAGACTGCCGGTATTTCATTTTCTAGACTTTATCAATAGCATGTTTCCCACTCTCTCCCCTCCCTTCCCCCGCCCGGGGTGGGAGGAAGAATGAATCTCTGATTTCACGTGTTGTGAACTTTTCATGTGGAATCTCCCTCTTCTAATGCATATTGGCAGCTCATTTGTAATGTCCAGTCTTGGAAAGGTGCCTGGTACACAGAGAAGTCATGACTTGCCTAGTCACACAGCCAATACTCGTCAAAGGCAGGGCTTGAACCTAGATCTTCCGGACTCCAAAGATGCTTCTGTACTTACTACTCTATACTGTCTTTCTCCCCACTGGTTTTGTTTTGTTTTGTTTTTTTACCAAAAATAAAAACTCAAAGCATGAAACTTTATCAAAACTCCTATGACTTTATTTGAACTGCTTACTCAACAGTCATTCAGAGCACCCTGGTCCCATTTTTGGTATGCCCCTCTGCTTTTGGCTGGGCACAGATGTTTCCCCCACTTCATGTTTGCATTCTCTGGTGGGAAGTTGGTTTCTCTTTTTGTATTCATGAATCTATCTAGTTGTTTGGGAGGCTCCTTTTAAAACCTTTGCAGCTGACATACACTATGGCGTGAAGTATATTTTTGTTTATTTGTGTCCACTGAAAGAAAAGCTAGAATACAGAGTAGCATTTGTGAAGGGACAGTCTGAAGGGGTACACATTGCTCTAAGAACACTTTTTACTCCTGCTCACCAAACAGAATTCTCACGTTCAGGTCACAGAACTGCTGAGACAAAAAATGCTCCTTGCACGAGACACCTATGAGCCAAACAGGCCATTCTAATCTAGAAATGTGCTCCTGCCTGGGATGGAGCTAAAGAGTGAAGATAAAGCTTTACAGGCAACCCACTAGCTCCACCAGAACCCAGAGGAGACCAAAGAATCTTTCCCACTGGCCTCTAAAAGATTCACTTGCTTATTCATTCCCTTAAGGTCATCCTCAAGTACTGCAGACAGACTTCTGGGGTGACTTTTATGGATTCAGACAGTCTCCTCCTTCTGCAGAGGGGGTCTGAGCACAAACCTAGGAGTTATCTTTATACTATATGAAGTGAATGGGAATGACAGCCTAGATATCCTAAGGATTATTAAGAACAAAATCTTTGATGATGATAAGTCATGGAGGTTCCTGCTCTTACCCCAGGGTCCATAATAAGGTACCCCCAATATTGAGTCAATAGTGAAGGATAATGACCATTTTTCTTGCTATGTAACAAACTAATTTACAGACTGATCATTTACTGATGTTCACCAATTTGCATGTAGATTAACTGTCATCCCACAACAGACGATGAAAATACCCAGCAAAGAATGAGTCTGTTTATTCTGATCTCCTTAATAAACCAATTGGATTAATTAGTGATATAAGCCACCATGTGGCAAATGACAATTACAATGGTTGAAAATGGTCGAGGAGATAGATGACATCTATGTGTAGAGGAGTGGATTTTTTTTTTTTTTTTTTTGCTTTTTGGTGAGGCAATTGGGGTTAAGTGATTTGCCCAGGGTCACACAGCTAGTGTCAAGTGTTTGAGGCCGGATCTGAACTCAGGTCCTCCTGACTCCAGGGCCAGAGCTCTATCCACTGTGCCATTTAGCTAGCCCAGAGGCATGGACTTTTAACTGAAAGGGAGGACGGCATGATGAATAGTGGGGACAGGCTAGTATATTTGTTAAACTTCTCTGTCACAGATGAAGACTATTTAGAGAATCTAGGTGACACATGGTTGGCTGGATCCAGGGTCTGTGGTTGGGGATCATCTTTTTTGCCTATGAGGGTTTATGACCTTTATATCTTAAAGCACCTTTTCAAACTCCAGTCTAACAGCTTGGTCCTTGTGAGAGACATGAAGGCTCAATGTAGAAATTGCCCCTCAGATACTCTTCTACTTATAAGGTTAGTCCTTTTGTTTACCTACCATTTTGATTATCCACATTCTGATCTTCAAAAATAAAACATTTTTTTCTTTAATTACTGGCCTGGGTCTCTTCACTAGTCAGGGAGTAGGAGAACGGATGAGATGATCATGAGTCCATGTTAAACTCCCACTCTGTGTCAGTGCTGAGAGAGCCTGATACCTGCCATCTTATTGTGGCTTCTTCCTAGAAAATCTGTACATTCTTTTTCATTCAGTACGCTGACTATGCCTCACAGAATCACAATATCTTAGATCTGGAAGGTCATCTAACAATTTTTCAGATAAGGAAACTGAGACAGAGAGGTGATTTTCCCAAAGTCACAAAGCTACTTAATGGCAGAACCCAGATGTTGTAAGCGCTTGTCCAATGCTCTTTTCACTACATATTACATTGCCTTCCTGTTCAAAATGCTCAATATCACAGCTGGTCAAGAAAAATACCTTTTCTCAACCAGGTCACAAGCAGTTGTGCCATCTGGATTAAGAGATAAGGTTAAAATGTGAGGGAGACATGACCTTCTCACTCAAACCATCGACTAAAGGTGCTGTCACTGAACACCATGGACTAATGTATTCTCTAACTAACGTGAGCAGAGTGTACTTGGTGAGAGAGCTGTTAGCCTTCCTCCTGCCTGATGCTAATTAAGCCTTTCCTGTTAATGTGCAGGGCTGCAGCTTCTGCATGAGAATACTACCCGTATCTTCTGTAGGTTCTCAATTCTTCAGAAAGTACATACAACTCTAACAGATGTGGGTCAAGCTTCAGCCAGAAGTCTCTCCACCTTGACTCTGCTGTCCTATTCAAATCTGCCTACATAAGAGGCTGAAAAATAATAAAAAAGGTTTTTTGGCAGGAAGGAGAACATGCTGCCAGACAATCACATTCTTCTGCATTTCTGTACGGCTCTTACTTCAGGTCTTACTTGTTCCTCAAACCGGCTGTCTAAGTGAACTGGACAGGGACTGCTCTTATTTTACAGAAAGGTAAATTAGGGTCCAGAGAAGGAAGTAACTGACCCAAACTCAGTGATGAATACAACCAGGGGGCTGAGTTGCTCCAGATGACCGGGGGACCCATACACAACAACTAATGAACTTGTGCACAGAATAGCCAGTAGCCCTGAGAGCATGATATGGATGGGACAGACAGACTGTTTATGTACAAGGAAGGGCCAGCTATGAGCTAGGGAGGAAGCTTCTTGATCTTACCACTTTCCCAAGGAATGGCCAAATAAGGGTAAACACACAAGTCTCCTAATGGTTTGAAGCCAGCCACATTACCAAAATGGCTTAGTTTCATTGCTTGTGAAACAAACAGTGAGAGTCCTCAGCTAGTGTGAAAGCTGTGAGTTGTAATCTTTTCTGCTATCTATAGTCACAAGTGTCCAAAATATCAGAAAGAGAAAAGTCAGCTTATTATTTCTGTAAAGACATAGAAAAATGTATACATTAGATGTAGTCACATTTGAAGTTGATGGCCTAGTCACAAATCTTGGGCTATGCCCTTAGAGACATGGCCTGTCATTTACTCCAATGAATCCTGTTTTTCAGATTTTGGGGTCGGGATTGTATGTAGGCTGAGAATGCTAATATCCAGGAATTTTAAATTTCAGTAAAATCCTGAATACTAGAGAGGGAAGACTGTAAACCAAGCCAGTGAAAAGTTCAAAACCAACCAATTCTCCTTGAGGAGATTCCCAACCTACAAAATTCAGATCGCTTACCCTGGGCTGATGGAATAGTTAAAGAAAATCACATTGATTAAATCCAAGAAATCTTATAGCAGGCCAAGTCTTGAATTGACACGGATGGAGAAAAGGAATCTCCATCATGACGGGTCTATTTTGGGGAAGATAAGCAGGAGTACAAGTAGGTGGGTCTAAGCTGGAACCAGGAGGAGAGAGCAACAGCCCCCATTTGGCAGCTCCGTGCCTAGCTCTCCCCTCCTCACAACCACCTCACCCACTCAGGAGTCAGGGAGAAGCCTCAATGTCCTATCAACTTCATAGTATAGGGAAAGTATCAAGTTTTAGAGGTTTTCCCATGCCACCTGCCCCTCCCCTGGACTTCAACCTACAAATAACTTGGATTATTTGCCAGTGATTTACCAATTTCTTGCTTTCAACCTCTTTGCAACATTATCACTTTTTTAGCTCATGTAATTTCTTCATAAGGACAGGGTGGGTGGATTCTTTTCAAGGTCCTCCAGATTTCACAATGTATCTTCATTATTTGCAATGTTGTGAAGTTCCAAACAACCAGGTATGTCCCTAGTTAGATGTATGATGCCCAAAATACACCGAAGAGCCAGTTTAAAATGATCTTGGGCTCCCTGTCTTTGGGATTCTCCACTTAATGGATAAACAAGAGATGAAGGATTTACAAAACACTCCCTCCACCCCCCTCTCCATACCAGTGGTTGGTTTCTAGGCCATCAGTTCCAATCCCTAGGCCCGTGGGCTCAAGCCCTGGTAGGAGGAGGCCAGGGGGGTCTGGCGGCTGCCCTGGTACATCTCCATCACCACTGCAACTTCCATCCTGGCCTGCTCGCAGATGATCCTTAAGCGTCTGTTTGTAGCGGAAGCTCTTGCCACAGCAGGGACAGGGGTAAGGCCTCTCCCCTGTGTGGATGCGCTGGTGCTTCATTAGGTGGTGCTTACGAATGAAGCTCTTGCCACAGTGGGCACAGTGGAAGGGACGCTCGCCGGTGTGCAACCGCTGGTGATTCAGCAGGTGCTCTTTACGCATGAAGCTCTTGCCACAGTCGCCACACTGGTAGGGCCGCTCACCTGTGTGGATCATTTGGTGGCGGATCAGTGCCGAGTGGCCGTTGAAGTCGATGCCACACTGTGGGCAGGAGAAGGGGCGCTCCTGGGCATGGCCCCGCTGGTGAAGCAGAAGACTAATCTTTAGACTGAAGCTCCGACCACACTGAGAACAGCGAAACGGGCGCTCCCCAGAGTGGCCACGTCGGTGGCTAGTGAGCCGAGACTGGTCAGTAAAACGCTTGGGGCATTCTGGACATGGAAAGGGCCGTTCACCACTGTGGACTCGCAGGTGATAGGCAAGCCGAGAGGGGTGCACAAAGCTCTTGGAGCAATGTGGGCAGGTATGGGCCCGCTCAGTTGTATGCACTCGGGCATGATTGCTGAGGTTGGCCTGTTGGGCAAAACGCTTAGGACACTGGGCACATGCAAAAGGACGCTCACCAGCATGACTACTCTGGTGGTCCATCAGCATTTCCTTCTGGTTAAAATTCTTGCCACAACGACGACAAGGGAAGAGTTGCTGTTGCTCCCCTGATTGGGGGGGAAGGGGAAGGTTGCCCAGCTGGGTGAAATTAGCCTGTCCCCCGAGGGGGTCAATGGGGTTATTAAGCTGAGGTCCAGAGGGTAGTATGGGTGGAGGATGCTGGCTCTTGAAAGCTGCATCCTGGAAAGCATCTTTTGACACTGCTGAAGGGTTGGCAGAGGTAACCTGGGCATCTGAACACAGAGGGCCTCCAGCAAGCCCTTCGGCTTTGATGGCAAGCTCATCATCTGAAAGAGAGGACTACGGTTGTTATACGACACAGAAACTGCTTTGTTAGCAATTCTCACCACAAAGTAGTAGCTACATTCTACCTGGTTTTCACAAATTGCTCTGTGCTTTTATTCACTGTGATTGTATAGGGAAGTGATTAGTTCAAAGGAACAGAAACAGTTCAGTGAAGTTCTGAGGTGAGAATCCAGGAATCTAAGGTGTCATCTCTGCATTATGAAATTCCCTGGTTTGAGATAGGGGATGGGAAAAAGCAAAGTTTTAAATTAAATTTTCCTAAGACATTGCTTTCATCATGTCACTTCCCTGCTCCACAACTTTTTCTCACTCCTTTTTACCCAATGATCCAGCCTCATTCCACCATCCTCATCTGTTCTTCCAACTCTTCCCAGCCATAAATCTTCTGATCTAATAGTGCTGCTCTCCTTTCTTCACTCCCCACTTCCCTCCAAACCCCTGTAATGAACCTCATTCACTTCCATGGTTTTCCTAGTGTCCATTTTGCCTTTTTTTTTTTTTTTTTTGGCTCCTGTCAAGGCTGAGTTTCTCTACTGCACAATACAGAAGGCAGGGCTCTGTATCTGCTCTATCACTCACCAGCATAGGTGCCTTTGTAAATGTCACTCTCTTCAGGGTCCTGTGGACCTTCCACCTGGGGGTCATCTTCTTGTTTAATCCAGGAGAGAATGTCTGACGTGGAAATGCCTGGCTCTGTTTGAGGGAAAAGAGAAACAGAGTATTTTGTTTTGAGTTCCTGCGGGGGAATGGAACAGAATTTTGAACCAAAAACTGGAATTAAACAAACTAATTTAATTTTCAAACAACCCAAATATTCATTTGTGAATAAGCAGGTAAACAAAACTCTTGATAAATAAGTCACAATCTCTGCACTGGAGATGTCCTAAAGTGATTTAACAGTGTGTCCTCTATTTCTATTGAACTTTTACCTTTAAATTGCTTTTATCTTAATTCTCTTTTCCTCTCACAACAGTGCTATAATGCAGAAAAAGCAAAGACTCTTAATTAATGTAACATAGCAAACATAATTTGTTAAGTGTAAAGCACTATGTTATGTATTATGGCTATAAAGATAAAAAATTATACAGTCTCAGGCCTCAAGGATCTTACACTATACTAGGGAAAGACACATAAATAAATAAACATGATACAGGATAGAATGTGATAAAGAAAAAGGACAGATAAATACAAAATGTTATAAAAGATCACTTTCCAGCGGAAAAAGGTGAGGATGATAGTGGTGAGGAGATGGGATCCATCAAAGGCTTCATGGAAGTCGTATCACCTCAGTTAGGCACTAAAGAAAAAGGAGGAATTCTATAAGCAGAGATGGACATCAAGGGAATTCCAAGCGTAAGGGATGGATTACATGGATGGAGAGAGGCAGGAAAGAACAAGGAAAGATAAGGGAACACTTCTGGTTTAGCTAAAACGTATAGTGTGTGAAGGGAGTCAATATGAAACAAGGCTGGGAAAGCACATTATGGTCAGACTGTGGAGGGCTTTAAATGCCAGGCTAAGTAAGAAGTCTGTATGTGATTCAAGATACAACATGGAGCCTCTGATAGTTTTTCAGGAGGAGAATAGTGTAATCATATCTATGCATTAGGATGACTGATTTGGTCATTATGTGAAGGATGCATTGGAAAGGTGGGACCTGTGGGTGATTATTATAATTGTCAATGCTAGTGGTGATGACGATCTACACTAGAGTGGTGGTGGTAGGAATGAAGAGGAGAGGTCCAAAATAAGACATTACTAAGGAAGAATCGATCAGGTCACTAGGCTGGATATAGGATTTGGGAAAGAGAGAAAAGTCAAGGATGACTGTGTTTTCCAGCTTGAGTGACTGGAAGGATAATGGTGACATTAATGGAATTAGGAAAGTTAAGGGAAAGAGGAAGTTTTGGGGAAATGATGATAATTCAATTTTGGTGCTGAACTAAAGGTACTCAAAAACATTCAGATAGAGAGATCCAGGAGGCAATGTTCAACTAGACATCAGGAGAGAGATTATGAATTGATTTACAAATAAGTCATTTTATAGAAGTCATAATTAATGTTATAAGAATGGATGAAATCAGTAAGGGAGATAAAATAAAAACACAAGAGAAGATAGCTGAGGACACCAACATTTAGGGGATAGTTGACAGATGAAAAAATGAAGAGTGAGAAGGAGTTGGCAAGGTAGGAGAAAAACTAGAAAGAACAATGTCATGGAAGTCCAAAGGGAAAAAGAGCATCGAGGGAGTGGTCAACAGTATCAAATGCTGCAGAAGAGTCAAGAAACATGACGCCTAAGAAAAGGTCACTGGATTTGGAAACTAAGAGTAGGAACAGAAACCAAACTCCAGAAAACTATAGAGAGGGTTGGTCTTGAAGAGGAGACAATGATTTTGCTTTTTTTCTAGAAATTTAGCAGTGAAGGGGAAGAAAGATACACGACAACAGTTTGAGGAGGTAGCAGCATCAAGGCAGAGTATTTTTTAATTTTTTTAGGATAACGCTGACTTGGGTGAGAGGGAACATATGGTATAGAGCAATAGTGTCAAACTCAAATGGAAAGGGATGTCTGCCAGTTGCATATTGATTTAGAAGACCACAAACTAACATTATCTATGTTGTAATGTATTTTTATTTATTTTGTTAAGCATTTCCCAATTACATTTTAATCTGGTTCCAAAGCTCAAGTCTAACCTCTGGTATACAGGATAGAAAATAGTCCTCATAGTCAAGATGACCTGGTTTAAAGTGCCATCCTTGACACAAACTAGTTGTGTGGCCCTGGGCAAGTCCTTTTTAAGTAAATAGCTTGGTTTGTTTTTTTTAAATACATTTTTATTGATCTTTTATTTTTGTATTGCCTAAATTTCCCCTTTATCCCTCTCTTTCCTCCTTCTCCTCTCCCAGGCAGCCATCCCTTATAACACAGCTCCATACCTGGGGATCCCTTCTCCCATCTTTCCCCTTCTTTAGGCCAAGTTTGTTCTTTGTAATTTTGTAATATTCATCTTCTTTTCAAATAAATAAATAAATGTATTTTTTATATTACCAAAATTTCCCCTGGAATTCCTCCCACTCCCAGAAAGCAATTTTATATAACAAATAACATTTTTAAAGGAAAAAAAAAAAGAGGGGCAGAGCCAAGATGGCAGAGGGAAAGCAGTGACTTGCTAGAGCTCTCCCCCAAACCCCTCCAAATACCTACAAAAAATGGCTCTAAACAAATTCTAAGGCAGCAGAACCCACAAAAAAACAGAGTAAAACAAATTTCCAGCCCAAGACAACCTGGATGGCTGATCAGAAAGGTATATCGCGCCGGGCAGGGAGAGGAGCACAGTTTGGCCTGGGTGCACAGGCTGCAGTGACCCTGGAGCAGGCCTCAGAGGACTGAATCGCGGGTAGCTGTGACGGTTTCCAGACTTCTCAATCCAGGAATGCCAAAGACAGCTTAGAAGGTCAGTGGGAAAAGTCTGTAACTCCGTGAGAGAAGAAGCTAGGTCTCAGCTGCAAGTCCAGAGCATGCCCTCGGGGCAGCAGCTTTTTCCTGAACTTCAGGCCCACAGACTGAGGGGGAACAGAGTGGCTGATCAGAGGGGGATTGCAAGGATCTCTTTGCCAGGGCTGAGGCAGAAATCTCTTGCTTTTCCCATGCTTGGATCTGAGTCAGAGTTCTGAAGGGCGGTCCTGGGGCGAGGAGGAGCGCTGGCCTGGTGGAGCTTGTTGTGGCAGTGGGGAGGAAACACCTCGCCCCTCATCATACCACCTTGGAAGAACTGACACTTTTCAGGTCCCTAGAAGTATCTCTGAAAACAGCTGTACAAACCCCCAAAGCTTGGGACAGTACATTCTCCACATTGGAAACAGACTCTTACCTTAACAAAGAGTTTAAAACTCAAGTAATTGGCCGGGATCATGAGTAAGCAGCGCAAAAAGAGTCAGACTATATTATCTTACTTTGGTGACAAAGAAGATCAAAACATACAACCAGAAGAAGAAAACAAAGTCAAAGCTCCTACATTCAAAACTTCCAAGAAAAATATGAATCAGTCCCAGGCCTTGGAAGAGCTCAAAAGGGATTTTGAGAAGCAAGTAAGAGAAGTAGAGGAAAAACTGGGAAGAGAAATGAGAGTGATGCAAGAAAATCATGAAAAGCGAGTTAACAGCTTGCTAAAGGAGACCCAAAAAAATAATGAAGAAAATAACACCTTAAAAAATAGTCTAACCCAAATGGCAAAAGAGGTCCAAAAAGCCAATGAGGAGAAGAATGCCCTAAAAAGCAAAATTGGACAAATGGAAAAGGAAGTCCAAAAGATTACTGAAGAAAACACTTCCTTAAAAATTAGAATAGAGCAATTGGAAGCTAGTGACTTTATGAGAAATCAAGACATTGTAAAACAAATCCAAAAGAATGAAAAATTAGAAAACAATGTGAAATATCTCATTGGAAAAACTGACCTGGAAAACAGATCCAGGAGAGCGAATTTAAAAATTATTGGACTATCTGAAAGCCATGAGCAAAAAAAGAGCCTAGACATCACCTTTCAAGAAATTATCAAGAAAAACTGTCCTGATATTTTAGAACCAGAGGGCAAAATAGAAATTGAAAGAATCCACCGATCTCCTCCTGAAAGAGATCCCCAAAGGAAAACCCCTAGGAATATTGTAGCCAAATTCCAGAGTTCCCAGGTCAAGGAGAAAATATTGCAAGCAGCCAGAAAGAAACAATTCAAGAATTGTGGAAACACAAACAGGATAACACAAGATTTAGCAGCTTCTACATTAAGGGACCACAGGGCATGGAATATAATATCCAGGAGGACAAAGGAGATCAGATTACAACCAAGAATCACCTACCCGGCAAAACTGAGTATAATTCTTCAGGGGAAAAAATGGTCATTCAGTGAAGTAGAGGACTTTCAAGCATTCTTGATGAAAAGACCAGAGCTGAATAGAAAATTTGACCTTCTAATACAAGACTCAAGTGGAACATGAAGAGGAATAGTTTCAAAACTAAGAGAGCACATTACTGAGCGGGAAGAATGAAATTCATTTTACTTAAATGCAAACACCAAAAGATAATGTGAATTTCTCAGGTAAACGTCTTTTATTTCGAAGGAAAATGAAAAAAAAATCCATCCAAAAGGCAAGAAAATTTAAGAATTCACATCTAACAAAATCTGAACTATTTCTGCTGATGATGATAAAAACCATTTAGCTTTGTATCTTAATCCATGTAGAGATGATATCAAAACTTACTATATAGTGTAGACTTCGTTGGGAAGGTTTTTTGTGCTTATTTAAATCTAGTCCATGTATGTCTCTAGCCTTCTATTCACTCACATTCAGGCATATTTAATTTGGCTGATAATTTCAACTCCTAAGGTGACCAGATTTTATTTTATTTCCTTTTGTTGTATCTTCCTCAAATAAGATTTGACCTGGTTCCCATGACCCATGAAGAGATATAACATATGTGGACTGGATTTGGATGGCAAAATACTGATATGTCACCCTGATGTTTATATTTTATCTTCTACCTGGTTTTTTTTTTTTTCATTTTTTGATTGGCTAAAATTGTGAAGGCCAACAACAAGAATGGCAGGACAGAGGTCTATGGAAGGGGATAGAAAGAGGAGGAGGGAAAAAGGAGGGGGAGGAGAAAAGAAGAAGCAGGAGAAAGAGAGGCAATTCTTATTATTTGATTGAATATTTAAAACTAGTTGTTAATAGCATGCTAGGCAATATGATATACTGTTTATAGAACTGATTTAAGAGCCAGGGGAACCTGAGATTAAGTTCTGCCTCTGACATATATTGTCTGTATAACCCAAGGCTAGTCATTTAAATTCTCATTGCTCTAGGTCAGTGATGTAAAACACACTTTTGGTAGCATAGTTCCACAGGGAATCAGATTAAAATATAATTGGGAAATATTTAATAAATTGAATACAAATACAATAGAATATAGATAATGTGAGTATGTGGTTTTCTTAGTCAATATGTGGACCTTCATAGTAACCCCAGTTTCACATCACTGCTCTGGGAAATCTTCTAGAATAATAATTGCAGAGCAGGTACTGATCTTCCTTGGTAAAATGAATTTATTCATCTAGGTGTTCCCTATATGAATGAAATCATAAATTCATTCTCTATCCCTTATTAATAGAATGTTTATAATTTGTTTTCCTATATAATGTTCAAGTATTTATTTTATAAACATACTTAGATTAAAAAAAAATTAAAGACTAATTAAAAAAAAGAAAAAAAACTAACTGATCAATAAATAGAAAAGGTATGAAAATATGTGCACAGTACCATACTTGTGGACTTCCCACCTCTGTAAAGGAGTAGGGTGAGAGTGTCTCTTAATATTTCTTCTTTAGAGATATGCTTGTTTTTTGTAATTTTATAATTTTCACTTCTGATTGTTTTGTGATTGTTTATTTCATTTACATTATTGTAGTCATTGTGTGTGTGTGTGTGTGTGTGTGTGTTGTTTTTTGGGACTCAGCTTACGTCCCTTTGTATCAGTTCATGTAAGTCTTCTCATATTTCTCTGTATTCATTATATTCATCATTTAGTAGTAATATTCCATTACATCATATACTAAAATTTGCTTAGCCATTCCCCAATTGATGGGCATCTACTTTGCTTCTTTTTGCTTTTTACTAACACTAAAATTGTTGCTATAAATGTTTTGGTGTATATGGAACCTTGCTTTTTCTCAGTAACTTCCTTGGAATATGTCTAACAATAGAACTCAAGTTCAAGGGTATGAACATTTTGGCCACTTTTTTATTTTCATAATTCCAAAATGCTTTGTAGAATAATTACAGTAATTTACACCTCCACCAACAATGAATCCTGACCAAGTCCTTTAACTAAAATCTCTGGTCTATGAAATTCTCTAAATGGAACAGAAGAAGCTTATCTGCATTGGTAAAGGGAGTTCTTCAATGGGAGCTCCCTATCTGATGAAGTCAAAGGTCTGGGTTAAAAAAAAAAAAAAAAAGTGATGAGTATGTTAAAAGCAGAAGAAGGAGCCATCAGATGGGGAGATATTGAAGATGAGAGGCAATGACAGATGGACCAAGATCTCATAGATGAAAGAGATGGATTCAAGGGCATGAATGGAAGGAGTTAGTTTTGTTGAGGAAGAGCCAGCCATGATCCTCCGAGATTAGAGAGGAGAAACAGATGGGTCAGAGAGGCCGAAATGCCCAGAATTACCCTGCTTTTACCCTGCTCGAGGTAAAATCCTAAAGAAGGTCGAGTTCTCTAAAGTCTTCTGATGACTTCTAGTCCACTGGGAATGTGGTATAGTAGAAAGAGCTCTGAACATGGAGCCAACAGACCTGGGTTAGAGTCTTGCTTCTGCTATTTATTACCTATATGACCTTGGGTGACCACTTTCCCCTTTGGTTCTCAGCTTCCTAATCTGCTATACAAGGGGTTATACTGGCTTAACAACCCCATCTAGCTCTGAGAGGGGCAAGCTCTGAGCTCCTTAGTCTAGCTCATCCGTAGCTGTGCATACTCAGAGGGAAACTGACTAAACAAAGCCTCACAGTGAGGTTCTGTCTTTACTCTTACCATCAACAGCACTCTCTTTGGTCAAGTGCTTTTGAAAAGCACAATCCCATCAAAATGTAATATAGCCTGTCCAAAGGAAAGAGAAAGTTGGGTAAGACTGAGGTCCAACAGGCTATACTGGGGATGTGGTTAGTCTGAAAAGAATAAAGGTTTGCTGTTATAAAGAGGAGAAAGGAGACAGGAAAAAGAAAGAGACAAGGGAATGAAAGAAGATGGAAAGGAGAAAGAAAGGACATTAAATGAGCTAACAGACAGATAAAACACTGTGAAAACCTAAGGGATTAATTAACACTGTTGATTTTGCTCAATCACTAAAGTGAGAACCTCAAAGTTAGTTAGGAGACCACAAGATTCTGGTAATAGTTCTTCTTATCTTGGTGTCAACCTTGACCCCTCATTCTCACTCACCCACATATCATTTCCACCTCTAAAACATCTCTTGAATTCATTTCCTTCTCTCTATTTACAAAGCTATCACCCTAGTTTAGGTCCTCATTACTTGCCTAGGCTATCAAATAGCCTCTATAATTGATCTAGGTCTCAAATTTCTCTCCACTCAGATCCATTCTTCATGAAAGTGCCAACGTCATTGTCCTAAAGCATAGAGCTAACCATGCCATAACTTACTTAATAAATTCCAGGGACTCCCCATTACCTCTAAGATCAAATGTAAAATCCTATAGCATTTAAAGCCCTTCAAAATCTGGACCTCACTTACCTTTCTTGCCAGCCTTACAGTGTACCAGCAGCTTCCCTTCCCCCGCCCCGGCCCCCTTCTTCCCCACCATCACACTATATTCTAGCCAAACTGGCTTTTTTACTATTTGTCATAAATGACATATAATCACCTATTCCCAAACCTGGAATGTATGTCTTCTTCACTTCTGCTTCTTAGAATTCCTATTTTCCTTCAAGGGGCAGCTCAAGTACCATCTTTTACATGAAGTCTGCTCAGTTGCTAACACTTCTTCTTGCCACCAAATTATCTTTTATCTCTTCTGCACACACCTACATATGTTTAATACACATGCTGACTCCTCTCCACAAGGACAGAGATTGTTTCACTTTTCTATTTGTATTTCCAGGACCTACTCAAGTGTCTGGCACATAGTAGGTATAATGCCCACTGACTGAATGATTAATTAAAGACAGAAGTAGCAGCTAGGTGGCACAGTGGATAGAGCTCTGGCCTTGGATTCAGGAGGACCTGAGTTCAAATCTGGCCTCAGACACATAACACTAGTTGTGTGACCCTGGGCAAGTCACTTAACCCCATTGCCTAGCCAAAAAAAAAAAAAAGATAGAACAACTTTGTAACCAAAGTCAGTGACAAAACTGAAATTAGAAATCATTAATCTTTAACTGCTAGGCCGTCATCAAACCCTAGGAGTGCAAGACAGCCTGGGGTAGTGAAAAGATATGATGTGATCTTTTCTACTCACCATCGCTGGGTTCTGCAGTCATCTCACTCTCATCGGGTCTTACTTGGTTCTCTGTATTCTGCTGTGACTCTGGTTGAGTTTGGGACAAAACTTCAGGTTGTGTCATGGCATAGTCTAGAGAACAAAGGGGAGAGAAAAGAAAGTAAAGGTAAATGGGGATGAAGATGGCATTAATTCTAACCAGTTTAAGCCAAGGGCATATGGGCCCATGGAGCTAGAGACTCCTTATATAGTTCCTATCCCTACTACACCTATAAATTAACCAGTTCTTTTCCAAAACCTATCCTATCTTCACTGGGTGGGGGTAAGGGGCAGCAGTAGCTCCTGGAGAGAACAGTGTCCTAGACAACCACTGCAGCTGCCATATTTACCCCATGCAGTTTCAAATTTAACCTTTGTCCCTAGATCATGCTCCTATCACCTGACGTTAAGGAGGGAGGGATACACCAAGGAAACCATAGCTTTTACAGTGACTCTATGTTCATGGAAGGAAAAGGCTGAGAAGGTACATTTTCTGTGTTTCAGGCCTAGAATCCAGCAGGAGTAAGGAGGGGAAGTTAGGAATGGGGCAATGAACAAGACTGCTGAGCTCACTTGAAGCTGTGCACCATTAGTGTGACAGAAGCCAGCTCAGCCTCACCCATTGAGATGAGAGACTCATAGTTGCCCTTCATTATGTTCTTGTAAAGTTCCTTCTGCCATTCTTCTAACTTCTCCCATTCTGGCGTAGAAAAGTAGATGGAGACATCATCAAACGTCACTGGCACCTGCAATCAAAAGCATGTGGGGCTCAGCTCTTCCCCTTTACCATTTAATTTACTTTACATTTTTGTTAAGAGACTACTATGGTGATAACGCTGTACTAGCTGCTGAGGGGTGATATAAAAGAAAGGTAAGATAGCACTCCTATATTTCAGAAGCTCACAATTGAATTGGTGAGATAAGACATAACTGCACAAAATATAACCATATCTATGACTTAATTGTCAAAATAAACAATACAGGTAAATATCAAACAAGCAGGTATCAAAGTGGACATGAGTGGTAGGGAAAGACTTTATGAGTGACCTAATCTTGAGAGCTGGATAGATGGAATTTTGGGTAGGGATAGATGAGGTAATGTTTCATCACTTGTCCCATCACAGTTGATCAGTTTTGAACACAATCAAGTCTTTCGAAGTTGTTTTTCTTTATAATATTATTGCCCTTGCATAAATTAGTCTCCTGGTTCTACTAAGTTCACTTTGTGCCAGTTCATACCACCCAAGATCCTCTGAAATTACATATTTTGTGTGTGTATATTCAACCCTCCTTTGTCCATTTCAGATAAAATTTAAGTTTATCAAATAAAATACAGTGCCTTACACAAAGGAGATGCTACCATAAGTGCTTATTCCTTCCCTTCTTTTTCCTTCATCTAATGCCCATTCTTACCATAATTTCCCCCCATGTTTATACTTCCTTTTTCTCATGCACCTCAATTATGAGAAATCATGCTACTTTTCTATCTGTGTTTTTGTTAATGGCAAGTAATAACCGTGTGTGTTTTTAAACTAGAGGGGAGGGCAAAAGAATTGCATGGAGACTTCTTTTACTCTCTGGCTTATTAGGAAGAATGACTTGCTGCCTTAAAGAATGCAGAAGTACTTCAAGAAGAAAACAAAGATGAGGGGGCAGAGCCAAGATGGCAAAGGGAAAGTTGTGACTGTCTTGAGCTCTCTCCCAAAGCCCTCCAAATACCTAAAAAAAAATGGCTCTAAACAAATTCTAAAGCAGCAGAACCCACAAAAAGACAGAGTGAAACAAATTTCCAGCCAAAGACAGCCTGGATGGTTGATCAGAAAGGTATATTGCGCCGGGCGGGGAGAGGAGCACAGTTTGGTATGGGCGTGCAGGCTGCAGCGAACCTGGAGCAGGCCTTAGAGGACTGAATCACGGGCAGCTGTGACGGTTTCCAGACTTCTCAACCCCTGAACGCCAAAGACAACTTAGAAGGTCAGTGGGAAAAGTCTGTGACTGCGGTGAGAGAGGAGCTAGGTCTCAGCCACAAGTCTCGAGTACAGCCCAGGGACGCAGCTTTTTCCTGAGCTTCAGGCCCACAGACTGAGGGGGAATAGAGTGGCTGATCAAAGGGGGATTGCAGGGATCTCTTTTGCCAGTGCTGAGGCAGGAATCTCTCGCTTTACCAGTGCTTGGATCTGGGTCACAGTTCTGAGGGGCAGTCCTGGGGCAAGGAGGAATGCTGGTGTGGTAGAGCTTGTGGTGGCGGTTGAGAGAAAACACCTCGCCCCTTATCACACCACCATGGAAGAACTGACACTTTTCAGGTCCCTAGAAGTACCTCTGAAAACAGCTGTACAAACCCCTAAAGCTTGGGACAGTATACTCTTCACATTGGAAGCAGACTTTTACCTTAACAAAGAGTTTAAAACTCAAGTAATTGGCCGGGATCATGAGTAAGCAGCGCAAAAAGAGTCAGACTATATTATCTTACTTTGGTGACAAAGAAGATCAAAACATACAACCAGAAGAAGAAAACAAAGTCAAAGCTCCTACATCCAAAACTTCCAAGAAAAATATGAATCAGTCCCAGGCCTTGGAAGAGCTCAAAAGGGATTCTGAGAAGCAAGTAAGAGAAGTAGAGGAAAAACTGAGAGTGATGCAAGAAAATCATAAAAAACAAGTTAACAGCTTGCTAAAAGAGACCCAAAAAAATAATAAAGAAAATAACACCTTAAAAAATAGCCTAACCCAAATGGCAAAAGAGGTCCAAAAAGCCAATGAAGAGAAGAATGCCCTAAAAAGCAAAATTGGACAAATGGAAAAGGAAGTCCAAAAGATTACTGAAGAAAACACTTCCTTAAAAATTAGAATAGAGCAATTGGAAGCTAGTGACTTTATGAGAAATCAAGACACTGTAAAACAAATCTAAAAGAATGAAAAATTAGAAAACAATATGAAATATCTCATTGGAAAAACTGACCTGGAAAACAGATCCAGGAGAGAGAATTTAAAAATTACTGGACTATCTGAAAGCCATGAGCAAAAAAAGAGCCTAGACATCACCTTTCAAGAAATTATCAAGGAATACTGTCCTGATATTTTAGAACCAGAGGGCAAAATAGAAATTGAAAGAATCCACTGATCTCCTCCTGAAAGAGATCCCCAAAGGAAAACTCCTAGGAATATTGTAGCTAAATTCCAGACTTCCCAGGTGAAGGAGAAAATATTGCAAGCAGCCAGAAAGAAACAATTCAAGTATTGTGGAAACACAATCAGAATAACACAAGATTTAGCTGCTTCTACATTAAGGGTCCGCAGGGCATGGAATATAATATTCCAGAGAGCAAAGGAGATAGGATTACAACCAAGAATCACCTACCCAGCAAAACTGAGTATAATCCTGCAGGGAAAAAAATGGTCATTCAGTCAAATAGAGGACTTTCAAACATTGTTGATGAAAAGACCAGAGTTGAATAGAAAATTTGATTTTCAAATACAAGACTTGAGTAGAACATGATGAGGTAAACAGGAAAGAGAAAATCATAAGAGACTTATTAAGGTTGAACTGTTTACATTCCTGCATGGAAAGATGATATTTGTAACTCATGAGATCTTTGTCAGTATTAAGGTAGTTGGAGGGGAAAAAATTATATGAATGTATATATAGATATAGATAGATAGATAGAGGGCACAGGGTGAGTTGAAAATGAAGGGGTCATATCTGGAGAATAAAATTAAGGGGTGAGAGAGGAATATACTTAGAGAAGAAGAAAGGGAGAGGTAGAACAGGGTAAATTATCCCACAAAAAAACAGAAAAGAAAAGGCTCTTACAGTGGAGGGGAAACGGGGGAAGGTGAGAGGGAATGAGTGAATTTTATTCTCATAGGATTTGACTTAAGGAGGAAATAACATACACAGTCAATTGGGTGTGGAAATCTGTCTTACCCTACAGGAAAATAGGGGTAGAAGGGGACGAGAGAGTAGGGGAATGACACAGAGGAGGGCAGACTGGGAAAAGGAGTAATCAGAAGCAAATACTTCTGAGGTGGGACAGGGTCAAAAGAAAGAATAGAATAGAATGGGTGGGTGGGATAGGATTAAGGGAAATAGAGTTAGTTTTTCACAGCATGTCTACTATGGAAGTGTTTTGCGTAACTGCACGTATATAACCTATATTTAGTTGCTTGCCTTATCAATGAGGGTGGGTGGGGAGGAAGGAAGGGAGAAAATTTGGAACCCAAAGTTTTAAAAACACATGTTTAAAAAAAATGTTTTCACATGCAACTGGGAAATAAGAAATACAGGAAATGGGGTACAGAAATCCATCCTGCCCTACAGGAAAATTGAAGGAGAAGGGGATAAGAGAAGGGGGGGACAGACAGAAGGGAAGGCAGACTAGGGGAAGGGGTGTTTAGAATGCATGCCATCTTGGGGTGGGGGTAGGGGTGAGATGGGGTGAAAATTTGGAACTCAAAATCTTGTGGAAGTAAATGTTGAAAACAAAAAAAAAAATAAAAATTACCATAAAAAAAAAGAAGACAAAGATGAACAAGAGGAGGAAGCAGCAGAAAACCTACTAGGAGTTTGGAAGAATTAAGTATGGAGTGACAATTCAATCCAATAAACATTTACCAGTGTAAGGTGCTATGCCAGGTGTTGGAGATCTAAAGACAGCAACTGAACAGATCCTGCACTCAAGAAGCTCATTTCAACTGAGGGAATACCACATCCACACAAGTAAATGCCAAGTATATCCACAGCAATTTCAAGAGGGAGAGAAGAACCACCACTGGGGGGATCTGAAAGACTTCCTGGAAGGACTGGCCCTTCAGCTGGGCTTTGGAAGAGCCTCAGGAATCTGAGAGAGAGAACTGAGAAGGGAGGACATTCCAGATGTGGAGGAAGCATTTGGCCAATGACAAATAGAGGCAGACTGATTACCATTTGTGGGGAACAGTATGGCAGGCCAGTTTAATTAGAACAGAATGGGTGAAGGGAAATAATATGAACTACAGCTACAAAAATAAGTGGGAACCAGATTATATAGCAGTATTAACCTGAGTAGAGTAGAACTGGACCCTTAGAAGAAGTACCTGACCCTCCAAAGAAGTTTAAAGAATGATGACGAGGATATAGATTCTATCAGGAGATGGAAAACTTGTACTGGAGGAAGAGATGAGTTTGGATGGTTTTCTACTGATAGGCAATGAGGAAGTCATGTGTTGTCTCATCTTCCCGTATCTTTGACATCACAGAGGGACTGCTTACTAACACCTATCAAAGCTAATCACCAAAAATATCTACATCTGGTTAATCAACTGGCAATAAATGAGATCCACAAAAGGGACTTAGAAAGCATTGATAGGGATTATAAAATTCTTAGCAAGGAAATGAAGAACTTAGCGCACAGTGATTAAAAGACATTTCAGAAATGGAAAGAAGATTTGGGAAGTGAACAACTGGCAAAGATGATGCTGTCCAAGCACAGGATTCAGATTTCTGGACCACAGCTTAAGATGTAGAGATGACTGGCTCTTGGCCAAAGAGGGAATGCATCTAATGCTAGACAGTAAAAATCTGTTCAGGAAGGCTTTAAGTAGAAAATTGGGAGAAAAGAGAAAATTTTCCACATACATCCATTATACCAGAAGCAAAGTAGCACATATGATACAGGAAAAATATCAGTGAAAATTATCTGCAATTTATAGGAGATAACATCTACAAGAAGGATTAGTAATAAAACTTAGGGCTTTGGATATTTAT